TAATTTTTGGTATTTGTAACTGAGGATTACTGATACTAGTCAATAAATATTGCTGAAAATCTGCTTTGTATTTTATATTAATGGACCTAAGGTTGATATTAAAATGTTTTCAAAATTCCTTATGGTTAAATGACCATTATAGTCATTTATTTGTTTACTTCATAATTGAAGAGTTGCCCAGATGATCATAAGTCTGAGAATACAAAAATGGCAACTGCACATTTTAGTGGGATTCTAATGTATACAAAATAATCTATTGGAATTTATATTTCCTTACAGGATTTGTAGTTCTTAGTTGGGTCTAAAAATAATAATATAAAGCCAGTATTGGCCAGGAAATATGGTAGGAGAGGAATTTCAAACAGGATTATAGGAGAAGCCCAAGGCTTTTGAAAAGGAGATTCATGAAATAAAGAGTGAACAGCTTTGGATGATGGTGAACCAGTGATGTGGGTTTATTTAAAGTATCTCTAGACTCTTTAAATGTGCCATGGTTATGGTTTCCTTTCTTATCCTGAGTCTTTCTTGGGTCGTCATTGAATTGTGCTTAGAATGAAAATTCTAAGTATGGCTAATAAGTAGCCATCTCAGGGAGAGAAATCCTCGAGCCAAGCACAGCTCACAGTCTCCTGATGCAAAAGAAAAAAGATAAAAACTAGAGAAACGGGCTACATTTCCAGATAGCCTTATGACATGAACATGAGTAACTGGCAGGGGGAGAGGGTGAAGCAGAAATGCAAAAACAAACAAACATACAAACAAAAAAAAAACAAATTGAGGAATCCCTTCCTCTCTGCAATCTTTTAAGTTGCAAATGCTTACCTTTCTTTTAAATTAATTGCCGCTTAGAGTTGTGCTCTCATCTGTTTGAGTTCTATGTTCACTTTTCCAAAACAGAAGGATGGCAGACAACCACCTTATTCTATAAATGGTGTCAGAAGAGGATGCCATTCATAGGTTTCACTTGAAATTCAGGCAACTGCAAGTCATCATGGTGGACTGGTTTGTTTTCTTTTTTCTCTCTTATCTAATTTATTTGAACATGATGGACAGGCAAGAATGGATTGCAACCTACATTCTTGTAGGGGAAATGTATATTGATGAGAGCACATATCCATTTAAGTGTTTCAGTATCCAATTTCTTAAAATAACATGATAGAAATAGATTTAGTCAGGAACTTTGTAGAGCTAGAAGAAACAAAAAAAGATCATCTAGCCTAATAATTCTATAAATGAGGACATGCAGGTCCAGGGGGTTTGTGGCTTGCCAAAGTAATACAGCCAATAAGTAAATGGTGGTATCAAAATAGTCTAGATCTGAGTGGCATAATTGCTGGAGGGCTGGACTTGGATTCAAGAACAGAGCTCAAATACCAAGTTAGATACTTGTGAGATATGTAACTTCTGGGCAAGTCACTTAACCTTTCAAGGTCATAGTTTCTGCATATACAAAAATGACCTCTAATATTCCTCCCAGGTTTAAATCAATGATCTTATCATCTTCTGAGTCCTAGGACCACTTTTATATACAAATAGGGTGAAAGAAAATAAATAGCCTTTTTTTCCCTCTTCCTGTTTTACTTTTTTGGACACTTTTATTAATGGATTGCATGTCTGGAGTTTATTGTTTATGAATCATTTACAATGCATTACAACCATTCTTCAGGTCCAGAAGTCATTTATTTTACACATAGATTGATCTTATTTCAGAACTGATACAGTGTAACTTGATATGAGGTTCTATAATATATAAAGTACCAGATTTAGAGTCAGACTAGAGTTCAAATCTGACCTTTGCCATTTACAGGCTAGGTGACCGCATGTAAGTCATTAAACTACTCAGAACATTAGACGACTCTTGAAATAATCACCAGGTTTCAAGAATGTAATGACTTTTAAATAACACTAGTTATAATGGCATATGCCTGACTGTAGTCAACCAAGTGCAAAAAACCAAAACAATACAAAAATTAGCTTTAAATAAGTATGATTGGCTTTTTAAAACTTGCCTTGACTAGTAAGTTGACTCATTTATCATTGGTTGGACTAGTTTCCATAAACAATCATATATACTCCCTCAGATAACATGTGATTGTTGTCAAATAGCCAAATTGATTATTTTTGCTGTCATGAACATTGTTACTAATATTTGGTCTCTTGTAGACACAATATTAGGCACCCATGCACATGCAGATGAAACTATTTGGTATTAATATTGCACCCTGCAATTCAAAGTCAAATCTGCAAGTTTTTCTTGAGATACATTTGAAATAAGTAAGTATGTCCTCAGTAGCTGGTATATAGGATAGAGAGCTTGGTGAGGAAGCTTCCTCCACCAATACAGATTAAAGTTGCCCAGAACATTGAGAAGTTAAGTTACTTGCTGAGAGCCACACAAGAATTAGGTTTTAGAGGTGGAACTTGAAGGGAAGTCTTCCTGGCTCTGAAGTCAGCTTTCTATGTCATGCTGCCTTTTTCATTAAGTAAATATAATAGCCACTTAATGCATGCTTGTGGAATTAAATTACTTTTTTATGTTTTAAAATTTTTTTGCTTTTAGGCAATTGGGGTTAAGTGACTTGCCCAAGGTCACACAGCTAGGAAGTGTCAAGTGGTTGGTCTGAGGCTGGATTTGAACTCAGGTCCTCCTGACTTCAGGGCCGGTGCTCTATGCACTGTGCCACCTCGCTGTCCTTATTAAATGACTTTTACAAGAGCAACAGGAGACTAGATCAAGTGGAAGCCCTTTCTATGCCATAAAATGTCAATTTGAAATTTTGAAATCTGTCTTTTTGGACATGAGTTTTTAAAAAGCAAAAGAAGAGCAGTCTGAATTTATACCAGAAATACCAGAGTATATTTAATTAGAGTTGGCATGATCCCAGGAAGAATAGCTGTATGAGGGGGAAGTGTTTTTCTTACTAGTGATGCTGTTCTATTCCTACACCAAACTGTGTAATTCATGGAAAAACTTTCTGTGGTGATCTTGAAAAGAACATAAACATGGAGACCCCAAGAAACTTCACTCCAACAACATGAAAGTAAGTCATTGCTTTTATGTAATCCATTTAATTTTAACTATTATGACATGACACAGAGTCTTTCAAATTATCAGAATATCTGTGAGAGAGTATTTATTTTGGTTTAATTGGCTTCAAATAGAAGCTCTTACCTGGTCATCCTTTGAAAACCCAAACCATAGATTGTAAAGTTTCAACAAAAAGGCCGACTTACATTAGTAGAGGGAGCTTTCTTACCATCTTGTCCAGCTTATATGTTAGGCACTAAGGTACTTTTACATACATTTCTCTCAGTGCTAGACTAGGTTTTTAAGTCTGTAGGGGCAACAGAAGGAATTAATTCAAGGTCTCTGCATTCTAGCTACTTACTATTTCTGGTAGCATATACATAAAATGCTTAAAGCCACTGAGTCCTGAAGACTGGAGAATTAAATCTCCCTGTGACTGAAGCTAAAGTTCTTGTGAGGAAAAAAATGTTCTTGATTCAGATTTTATAATTTCCTGGACATTTTCTGGAAATGTCCAATTCTTATCATTATATAATTTTCTTGTTTATTGTAGAAGGATAAGATTATATCTCTGAAAAGTAATCCAACAGAAAAGAAGGTAAGCTCATGGACTTGACTCATCCCACTTGACTCATCTGCTTCTGCCCTTTGTGTTTGGTAAAAATACCCTTCAATCCAGAAATCTTACAATGCATGCAATTCCTATCTTTTTCCCCCTTTTTGATGAGGAGGAAGGAGTGGGTTATTGTTTTAAGAATCCAATTTAATATCTGTCTCACCATCTGTCACTGGGCAGAACAGATATAAAACAGTGGCAAATTCATGTTAAGAAGGCTGTCTTGGGATAACAAAGAGAAAAGTTAATGGGCATGGATTTACAAATTATTAATGATTTTTCTTGTCATTTCTTGAAAAATGAAAGCTATGCACGCTGCCTCTCTCCCCAAACAGATTGCATTGTATTCCTCTGCAGTTTGTCCATCAGGCTTCATTCTGACAACATAATCCCAAAGTAATCCAGAGCGTTCAGTTTTCCTTGTTGGCTCTCATGCAGGCTGCTTAGACAAATCCTGCTACCTGTCAGCCCTCCGGTGGGTGCCAAACAGGCTGCCAGGTTAACCCCTGGGGAAGTTGGAAGACCTGATGATTTAACCCCTACTTCCCTTCCAATAATCCACCATAAATACAGAGGATGTTCACAGGCTAACTGTTCCAATCAGGGTTGGATCCCTCAAAATCTGTTTTATACACCTCCTCTAAGAACTACGGATGTGAACAGCACTGCTTGAATGAGTAAGTGACTTACTACAGTAATACAGACTCTAAACAAGCAGATGGATTGGATGCAAAGAGATTTGAATCCTCCAAAGTAGTATATATACTTATCTGTATATATACACACACATAAACGCATAAATATATACACACACTCACATATACATGTATACATGTATGTATATGTACACATATATGTGTATGTGTATATATATATTTGTGTGTGTGTGTGTGTGTGTACACATTGTGTGTGTCCATACCCATATCATATGTCTATTTATCATTACTGGGCCACTTCAATGCTAATAAATTCTTCCAAAAAGGCCAGGACAATGGCAAAATCTACTGAGTGACATGAAAACAAAAGGATTTTAATTAGAATTTCAGTTCTTGCTTCTCTATTTTCCCCTTCCTTTCTCTCCCATCATCATCTGCCTTTATGTTTTTCCCCTTTAGCTCTTGTTGCATGTGAGTGAATTTGAATATCGTTTACTAACTGGTCTCAGATGGTTTTGGTGCAGAAGAACCAGCAAATAAACCACACAAAGTTTTAGAGGGAGTAAATAGTAAATAATTTTTACTTGGCATCTTAATGGTCCCTATTGAATAGATCAAGGAAGAACATGGAGAACACATGGAAATATAAGGGTTTTAAAATGTTTTAAAGGGTTTAAAATTGTTTTAAAATGATACTCACTTATGTATTCTGTACAACAAAACAGCTTCCTCCTTGTCAGAATTCAGGGCTCATGAATCTGTCAGACCCAGTGGCATCAACAATCCACAACAGCAAATGACTTGAGTAAGCCTGGCATAATAAGGTACACTTAAATGCTCCACTACATGAGAAAGGAAACAAAAAATATCCCCCAGCTCATTTAACATTTGCTAGTCATGACATCTAGGTGAATTGGGGAAAGGTGGATAAGCCTGTGGGGAAGGAGCCTGAAGTCTTATCACCAACAAAACTTCTAAAGTCCACTAATACTTCTGACAAGAGTGTCTATTTTATCCCCCCCGCCACTGTTTAATTTCATTAGTTGCCATATGAGGGAGCAGTGACACGATTTTCCCCTTCCATGTTTTTCACTTGCCACATAGCATAAGGGGACAGATGAAGAACATGCCTTCTTCAAAATATAAACTTTCAGATACGGGCTCAAAGAAATACATGCATGCAAAGTACGGGATCAGAGATCTCAGATGGCAGAATGAAAAATTGTACTTCTTCACCATGCTATCCTATGTTGTTCTTGTTCAGTTGTTTCAATTGTATCTGACTCTTTGTGACCCCATTTGGGGTTTTCTTGGCAAAGATACTGGAGTGGTTTGCCATGTCCTTCTCCAACTCATTTTATAGATGTGGAAACTGAGACAAACAGGGTGAAGTAACTTGCCTAGTGTCACACAGCTAGGGTGTATTTGAGGCATTATTTGAAAAGATATGATGAGATAAGATAAGATAAATCTTCCTGACCCTACACTCTATTCACTGTACCATATAGCTGCCCCATGCTATCCTATAGAAATGTTTGTGTTTTTACTGTTATATGTTATTAAAAAAAGAAAATATTGAAATATTTTCCCATTGTGTTATACTCATAAAACCAATTTTAGAATTCTTTCTTTTTGTAATAAATTGTCAATAGTTAATCCTTCTAACAGTAGCTGTCATTTATGTAAAGCTTTAAGATTTGTGACGTAAGTTGAATAATATAGGTATACATGTTCTTATATATTATATGTAAATGAAAATGCTTTTACTAGGGATAATGTGCTTGTGCGTTAAGAGAATATGTGAATGTATCTTCCCATATCTATTCACATTTACATAATACATCCATAAGATAAACACAAATACCAGGTGTCCCACTATGCATTTAATTTAAAACTTTGTTTTTAAAAATATTAATGACTTTTAGCTTTCTCATTTTTGTTACTGCACTCTCATTTCTCATATCCACCACACCCTCCCTTATCTTTCTTTCTCTTCTTATCTCTTTTTTCTCTTTCACCCATCTCATTTTTTCTTCCTTTCCCCCATTCCTTGCTGCCCCTTAAGTTGTTAGTTGTTTTGTTGACAGAAAAGTTCAGTAGGATGTCAGACAACAGTTTGTCAACTCCCATGGTTAAGGGTCAATCACCATAACAGATAAGGTCGTTCTAAAACAGAACATTCCTTTCAATATTTTGCTTAATAACCAGATGCTTTCTATGTATTGCCATTTAAATAATAAAATGAGATACGGAAAAGTCTGAGAAGGCAAGAAAACTTTTGAGCTCACAGCAGAAAATTCTTCTCCATGGTTATGGTGACTCTAAAAATAATTTATTTCTTTGAATGATTAAGTATCTTTAGTCATTTATTTGATATAAATCCTATATTATAATGCTCAGCAAGGAGCTTTTGACTTCTAGAAGGGATAAGTGAGCTGGGGATAAGAGGTTGGACCTTGTTAGAGATGCCAACCAATTGGATTTTAATATACTCCAATATTACTCTGATGGTAAATATTTCTGGGTTTAAATTAACCTGCTCTATATTTATATCCGGGCAGTTAGATGGTGCAGTGGATAGAGTATTAGCTTTGGAGTCAGGAGGACCTCAGTTAAAATTCAGTGTCAGAGTCTTACTACCTGCATGAAACTGGGCAAGTCACTTAACACTATTTGCTTCAGTTATTCATTTGAAAAATAAGTTGGAGAAGGAAATGGCAAATCACCACAGTATCTTTGCCAAGAAAACCCCAAATGGATCATGAACAGTCAGACACAAGTAATTAACTAAACAATAAAATTTATATCTGCCCTTTTTTCGGGGAGGGATCTTAAAGGGGCAGTGATTTCATTGGTATAGGGAACTCCGAGGTAAGGAAACCTCATCTGTCAATGCTGATCCAAATTTCCTCCTGATCTTCTAATCTTGGATAGTTGTGTAGGGCACTAAGGATTTAGGGAACGTTCCCAGGGTCACACAGTCAGGTTTCCTCACTTCAAAGCCAACTATTTACCCCTATATCCTCTCATATACATTGTTTACTAAAATGAAAGAAAGTATGTAAAATACTAGGTAACCATAAGGCACCAAGCATTTATGAGATTTTTTAATTAATAGTAATTATTATTTTTTCAATCAGCAGTGAAGAAGATGGTCTTTTCAAAACACTGGTTAAAAACTGCTATGATGATTTTCTGAAGACATTAAATAGTAACACACATACTAACAGAAAAAAATGTATTCTCAGTTAGCCAATAAACATTTATTAAGCACTTAATATGTACCAGACACTGCTAAATGATAGAGATACAAATAAAGACAAAAGACAGTGCTTATCTTTGAGGAGCTCACACTACAGTGAAGGGGATAACAGGAAAACAATCTACAAAAAAGATATAGACAGGCTAAATTGGAGATAATCATGCTCGTATTGAGAAACTTACATTCATGCTTTGATATCTGGCAACTATATAGATATCAAAAAGTCTTGGTGGCAACATTAAGTTTGCTTAGACTGTTGTGACTGTTCTATGATTGATCAACATGCCAATGATGCTAGATCATCAGCTGAGTCACTTTTCCTTTCTATGATACCAACAGTAAGATCTTATCTGGTTATTGATTGTGTTCCTTATCAGCTCTGCTCAACATAATGTGGGGTGTGTGTGTGTGTGTGTGTGTGTGTGTGTGTGTGTAGTCAATGCACAGCCTAAACAATGTGAGCTGAACTTAGTGATGTTCTGAAATCTTGATTTTACACAGGATTACTGCATGAACAAAAACTCATTGGGAAGTGGTTAGTTGTGATTTCCCATCTGGAGAGCTGTGGAGTAACTGCAACTCAGCAAATGATCTGGTGCACTAAAACCATGGAGAAAGAGCTGTTCCAAATGATCAAAAGAATGGAATTACAAAATACAATGGGAATGTGGTATCATCGTTGGGGGCATTTCCTCCAACAGTGCACATAGTACATTTGTAGGTGATCATTGTGTTATAGAAGTGGGTCATGCTATGAGTGGATGTATATCAGGGGCCATTCATATATCCAACAAACATTTTGTTGCTCAATATTATTAGGATATTCGTGACACAATGTTAAGTGTCACAGTTATTAAAACTCACCATGAATTGTGCCATGTAAGGAATACTAAGGACAGAAACAAGTATACGTTTTTGCTTTGTTGTGGAGAAGAGGAAGAGAAAAGATGAGGGGATCCCTGATGTGGTCGATGGAATAATGATAATGTGATGGAGAGGAGATAGGATTAATTTATTCTTATTTTGTTTCACCTTGTATATCCTATAAAGCTACAAACCTGCAGAGGATAATTAATTTTTTAAATTTAATTTATTTTTTGGGGTTACATTTTAAATTTAGAACTGTTTCCCTCCCTCCTCACCTGGCACTTAGAGAAGGCCACCATTTCACACACACACACACACACACACACACACACACACACACACAGAGACACATGTAAAACTATATTCTGCATACCTCTATTTATGAGGGTTTTTTTACTTTGGAGGTAGATAGCATCTTCCTTCATAGGTTCTTTGCATTGGTTTGAGTGTTTATAATACTCATAATAAGTTAGTCATTCACAGTTATTCTTTGAACAATATTGCTGTTACTGTATCCAAAGTTCTCTTGGTTCTGCTCATTTCATTCTTCTTTTTTTTCATGCAAGTCTTTCCATATTTTTCTAAAATTAACCTTCTCATCATTTCTTACAGAACAGTTGTATTCTGACATAAGTGCTTTATAATTTTTTTTTTTTAGGCAGTTGGGGTAAAGTGAATTGCCCAGGGTCACACAGCTATTAAGTGTCAAGTGTTTGGTTTGAGGATAGATTTGAAATTATGTCCTTTTGATTTCAGGGCCTATGCTCTATCCACTGTGCCACCTAGCTGCCCCTCAAAAGTGCTTTTTGCAAATATTATATCATTTGACACAACAATCCTGGGAGGTAGGTATCTTTGTTTCCCCTATTTTACAGTTAAGGAAAAGGAAGCAAACAGAAGTTAACTGACTCATCCACAGTCAGACCTGACTACTTCCAGTTCTGATCATAACACATTTCAATCTAATACTTTCTACCATTTCTTATGAAAAAGTAAACTTTAGAATATGTTGCAGTAAACCTAGATAAAAAGTTACTTTATGAATAAATTAGAGGACTAAGGAAGAAATTACCTTTTGGATACTGGGATTGAGGATGATTTTAAGACAACAGGGAATAGAGAGGATTGTTGAAAACAAAATGTTGAATTTTGATTACATAAAATTTAAAAGTTTTTGCACAAGCAAGTTACTGTAGTAAAAATTATTTTAAAAAACAGAATTTGGAAAAATGTTTGAACTAGTTTCTCTAATAAAAGTCTCAGTTCCGAGATACATAAAAGGCTGATTCATATTTATAAGCCTAAGAGCCATTCACAATAGATAAATGGTCAAAGGATATGAATAGGCAGTTTTTAAATGAAGAAATCTCAACTAACAGCAACTGTATAAAACATTCAAAATAACTGAGAAATTAAAATGAAAAGTCTTTTGACAATCTCTGTCATACTTATCAGACTGGCAAAAATGTTAAGAGGAAATTGACTAATACTGGATGTACTGTTGGTGGAATTATGAATTGGTCCAGTCACTCTGGAAAGCAATCTAGAATGAGACTGAGAAAGTTAACAAACTGTCACACACCTTTTTACCCAGCTAAACTACTACTAGGTATATTCTCCCAAAGAAACCAAAAGAAAGAAGAAAATGATTTTAAAAAATTGTATCAGCTCTTTATAGTAGCCTGAAATTGGAAACTAAAAGGGTG